AGAAGGGATCGCAGGAGGGAAGGAGAAGCAGCACCAACAGGAAAGGAGAGACTAGCCCAGTTAGGCCAGCAGACAGAGGTTGCCAAGTTCCAAAGGTACCCGGACTATCTCCATAACGGGGCAGGTTTCAGACATAAATGAAGTCCTTGGACATTTACTTGGGTTCAATAAATACTGGATGTTTATTACCTGTTGGGCCCTAGGTACACAAAGATAAAGAAAGCAAAGATTTTGTTCCCTTGGAGCTTACAGTCAGCAGAAGGATATTACATAAATGAATCAACAAGGCTCCTGGCCCACCAAAGCCTCTAGGGTCAGAGTTGTAGCAGAACCTGTTGCAGGATGGAATGAGGCAGCCAGTACACATATCAGCAGCACCCACACTCAACTAAAAATCAAAGACTGATCCATGTCTGTGGGTCACCCCAAGGAGAACAGTACCAAGATAACCTCTAAGATTCTCTGATTTCTTCAGATGACATAAAATCTTCACCTTTTACCAAAATAACCACTAATACTTAATTTTCTTCTGGTCCCAAAGAAGAGGGCTCAGAGACCAGTTGCTGTTGATTTAACAAAAATCATGAGCGCAAGGCAGTGTGAGTCTCCTTGGTTCTGAGGCTATGGCCTGGCTTATCTAGGGCACATGGAGGTATGCACGGGAGGAACCCAGGGTCTGGGGGAGGGAGGGCAATCTGCTGCCTGATGACTGAGCAAGGAGTCTGCAATGTCCAGGCTAGAAACTAGAACAAGGGTCAGAGCTCTGAGGGGCCTAGTGCTCGTGATAAACCCATTTGGGCACTGCTAGGGTTCCACTATGTTTTTGACTGAATGGAGGGATTTGTTTTATTTTTTAAAAGATTTATCTGTTTGAGGGGCCTCCCCTGGTAGCGCAGGTGGTTGAGCGCTACGCTGTGAAGCTGTCCACAGCCTCTGCAGCACTGGTTTGATCCCGGCCAGCCGGCAAGGGTCCCACATGGCGCTGCAGACCTCTGCTGTCGCGCCTGCTGCTCCCCTCAGCAGTGTATTTCGTCAGTCTGCCTGTTCTGTTCCCCGCTCTGTCTCTGGTGAATCCTCTCACCCTCCCGCGCATGTGACCTGTACCCCAGTTCTTGTATAAAAATAAATAAATCTTAAAAAAAAAAAAGAGATTTATCTGTTTGTGCATACAAGAACTGAGGTACAGGCCAGAGGTCCTGGGGGTGAAAGGATTCACCAGAGACAGATTGGGGAGCAGAGCATGTAGATTGACTGAAATACAGTGCTAAAGAGGAGCAGCAGGTGAGACAGGATTGGTCTGCTGCGCCATGTGGGTTAGCTCCCTGGCTGGGGATCAAACTGCTGCAGTGGCTGCCAATAGCTTCAGAGTGCTGAGACTTAACCCTTGTGCCACCAGAGAGCCCCCTGGAGGGGATTTATTTTAAACAACTCATTTTGTGGTTAATGTCCCAGAAGCCACTCACCCATTAGTAATCACTGTGCAAGTAGAAAAAGGGATCACCAGACCTTTGTGTGAGTTAGAAAACATGCCTCCATCCCTGACAGATACAGTCAGAGGAACAAGGGGATGTCAGCACCCTCTCAGCCCTCTCCCAGGAACCTAATACCTAAAAGAGAGTGGCTCCTTTCAGGGCCCTGCCTGGCTTGCTGCATGTGTCTGTACTGGGGTTGCTAGAAGAGGTAAGTAAGGCAGAGAAATCTGAATGGTTGGGACTTTACCTTCTTAAGTACAATAGTCTCTTACATAGAATGTTTACTTCGCTCTTGGCAACTAATATCTCCAGAAAAACCCCTGACTCTTAACGCATAAGTGTGTGGTATAAAAGCTGATATGAGGCAAATTTCTCTCTCTCTCTCTCTCTCCTTCTCTCTCTCTCTCTCTCTCTCTCTCTCTCTCTTTGCTGTAATCCTTTCAGACTTTGGCAGTGCATATAAAACAGACACCTTGGTAGCAAAGTCTTCAGAGGCGTGAGAATGGGCAGCTTTCAGGTACAAACTTTGCTCATTCCTGCCTGCAGATTGTGGCTTGAGCTCAAGTCCACAGAGGGCTTAGTCCAAGAAGGTCAAGAACATAGTCATGATAGACTCCATTTTCTAACTTGCACAAAAGCCTGGAGATTCCTTTTTCTACTTGCACAATGATTCCTAATGCATTAGTGGTGGTGGGGCTTCTGGGACATTAACCACAATCTGAGGTGTTTTGGGGCCTCCCTGGTGGCACAAGGGGTTAAGACACAATCTGCGAAGCTGTCCGCAGCCATTGCAGCACAAGTTCAATCCCCAGCCAGGGAGCAGCCTACATGGTGCAGCAGACCTCTCCTGACTTGCCCGCTGCACCCCTCAGCAGTGTATTTCAGTAGATCTGCCTGTTCTGCTCCCCACTCTGTCTCTGGTGAATCCTCTCTCACTCACACACCTGCCCACACATCTGGCCTATAACCCGGTTCTTGTATAAATAAATAAATAAATCTTTTTAAAAAGTTTTATTTATTTATGCATACAAGAACTGGGGTGTAAACCAGGGGTGCAGGGGAATGAGAGGATTCACCAGAAAGAGTGGGGAACAGAACAGGCAGATATACTGAAATACGCTGCTGAGGGGAGCAGTGGGTGGCGTGACAGGAGAGGTCTGCTGCGCCATGTGGGTTGCTCCCTGGCCAGCTGTGGATCAAAATCATGCTGCAGAGGCTGCAGATAGCTTCACAGTTCTGTGCTCAACCCCTTGCACCACCAGGGAGGCCCTAAAAGACTTGTTAACATCAAGTCTAGTCACTCAGAAGAAAAGACATATTGCTCTTTGGCCTTCACTCAGTCAATGAATATTTATCAAGCAGCTTCTGTGTACTAGGCACTGTACCTCTGGGTCCTCTCCCTTGTTCAGTGACATTAACAAACATGGGTACACTGCTTCTAGTATTGTTTAGATGTCTGTTTATAAAGTATATGTATGTACTTGTTCCTACCTTGGGTAAGGAAAGCAAATCACCAACTTGTGAAAAGTCAAATAGTTCTAGACAATGGCAATCGTGGGCAGAATAAGGACGAATGGCATAGGCTACTCATACGCAATGACCAAATAGAAGATGAGGAGAACAGGACGTTCCAAGAACTAATTAGGCAACCATCCTAAAGTTTTGCTCACTTCACAGACTCAACTCCTCTTCTTCTTCTTTTTTTTTTTTTTTAAGATTTATTTATACTGGGTCTCCCATGGTGGCCCACGTAGTTGAGCGCAGCGCTGTGAAGTTGTCCGCAGCCTCTGCAGTGCAGGTTTGATCCTGGCCCGCCGGCGAGAGTCCCACATGGCACAGCAGACCTCTCCTGTCTCACCCGCTGCTCCCCTCAGTGGTGTGTTTCAGTCAGTATGCCTGTTCTGTTAGCGGCTGTCTCTGGTAAATCCTCTCACCCTCCCGCGCATCTGGCCTGTACCCCGGTTCTTGTATGCATGAATAAATAAATAAACTGGGATGTAAGCCAGAGGTGTTGGGGCGAAGGGGGCGGGGATGAGAGAGTTCACCAGATAGAGTGGGGAGCAGAACAGGCAGATCTAGGAAATACACTGCTGAGGGGAGCAGCAGGTGAAACAGGAGAGGTCTGATGCGCCACGTGGGTAGCTCCCTGGCCATCGGGGATCAAACTTGTGCTGCAGTGGATGGCATTAGCTTGATAGCCCTGTCTTTAACTCCTGCGCCACCAGGAAGGCCCCTAATAAATATATATATTTTAAAGATTTATTTATTTATACATACATGCACTGGGTACAGTCAGAAGCGCAGGAGGGTGAGAGAATTCACCAGAGCCAGAGCGGGGAGCAGAGCAGGCAGAAGGACCGAGGTACACTGCCAAGGGGAGCAGCCAGCGGCAGGAGAGGTCTGCGCGCCATGTGGGACCCTCCTCCGGTGGCCGGGGAGCAGCCAGGTATGGAACCAGCGCTGCAGAGGCTGCGGTCAGCCTCGTAACCCAGCGCTCAACCGCTGCGCCACCAGGGAGGCCCCCCTAGTAAATATTTTTAAAGAAATAGATGTCATGGGCTCCCTGTGGCGCATGGAGTTAAGCACCGCACTATGAAGCAATCCGCAGCCTCTGAAGCACGAGTTTTATCCCCGCTGGCCAGGGAGCTACCCACATGGCGAGGCAGACCTCTCCTGCCTCACCGGCTGCTCCCCTCAGCAGTGTACTTAAGTCAGTCTGTTCTGTTTCCCACTCTGTCTCTGGTGAATTCTCTCAAACCCCCCCCCCCACACACACACCTCTGGCCTGTACCCCAGCTCTTGTATGCATAAATAATCTTTAAAAAAAAAATAAAAAGAAATAGATGTCAGAGCTCGGAGCAGACTTTTCACTCTCATAGGAATAGGACAGATACAACCTCTTTACAGGAAGTATAGTTAAAGCAAAGGAGGATGAGGAGCTGGATTAAATCGGGGTGCGGACAGGTGGGGGCGGGGAGGTGCAGGCCTCAGATTTCTTTGAAAGGTCATCCCGAAGAAAGAGTGTAGGTTTCTCATAGTCTCACTCGGGAGAAACAGAATCAGGGGATGTTACTACAAGAGAACTTGATTCCCCATGAAAAAGAATAAGCAAGCTCACCAAATACTATTAAGCTAAATACTAAATTCTACGGGTGCGAAAATGCTGCCCCAATGCGGGGCAGAGATACCACAGAAGGAATTCTACGATAGCGCTTTAAAAGAAAGCGCAGACCGGAGAAAACTTGGCGGGAACAAGAGGGCGCCAAACAAAGGAAGTGACGTTTGTTGTGCCCTCTAGAAGGAAATCGCTAAGATGCGGAAGTATCCTTTTGATTGGTTTTCTTGAGACACCATCCTATCAGAATTTCGTATTCAATGTTTGCGCCTGCGCAGCGTGGTTTGCCCTAGTAAATATGGCCGCAGAGGCGTCAGTTCCCATTGGAGTTCAGCATGTGCTTGCCTGAGCCTCACCAGAGACGACCGGAAAATGCGTAGCATTTGCGGGCCTTGATTGGTTGAAGCAAGAAGCATTCTGGGCACTGATTGGCTCCTCCATTTGCGGGAACTCGTTTGCGGCTCAGTGAAAAGTAGATCCCGCGCTGCGGACGCAGCACGGTTCTGAGGTGTTTCGCGAGCTCGCTAGACCCGGGCAGCCTGGATCTCGTTCACTAGAGAATCGTGGCCATGATGTGGAATAGCAGTGAGTGGGGAGAATGACAGTCGCGAGAGGGACTTACTAAGAGGCCGGGAGTCGGGGAGGCGTGTGGCGGCGGGAGGCTGCGGTGGGGCGGGCGGGAGCCGAGGTGGGGCCTGGCGCGCCGCGGGGGAGCTGGCGGGAAAGGTGAGGGAGACGCTCGGAGCGGCCGAGGAGTGGGTCTGAGGGGAGCGGGCGGGGGAGGTGTCGGAGGCGTGGAAAGCCTCGCGGATATTAATCCTGTTGTTCAACGCCAGGTGGATATGACAGCTATGGCAGCTCCTTTGGCGGAGCCGGTGGCTACACACAGTCCCCTGGGGGCTTCGGATCGCCGACACCTTCACAGGCTGAAAAAAAATCCGTAAGTTGAAAGGGTATTTTCGATTTATTTTGTCCTGTCCTGAAGCTCGTAACTCAGCCATAGGAGAGAATTTCTGCGGCAAAGGAAGGGTGTTACATAGGAACCCATTTGATAATTTTGTGAGTTTGGAAAGTGAAATCTCCCCATCGTTTCTTTGGCTGTGTTTTGTTCTTGTGTTTGTTTCATGGCTTTTACTTTTTGTACTTTTTAATCAAATTCTGTTGACTCCCCATTGGTTTACTAGGCCATTGTCATTTGGGGGTACCGGGTCACACCTCACCCTCAGCTTTATTTTGAAATTTACCATTATAGTTAGAGAACTAATATTGGGGGAAAACTGAATTTATATCAGAAGCCTATTTTGCATTCTTTTTGTACTTGAGGTTTTTAAATTAAATGTTTCAAAATGATTTAGCGTGAAAAGAGCATGGTTTTGAAAACAGATCTGTGTCCTGTACTGACATTATGCTACCTTATCTTTGGACACATTTCTTAACTTTTTCAGTCAGTTTTGCACCTACTAAATGAGATTACTAATTCAGGTTGTTGTGAGACTGGATATTATGTCCAGAAGTGCCTTCCCGCATAGTTTTCACTAAATGGTTCCAGATACTCTTTTCAAAAAACAAAACAAAAACCTGAGCATTGGAGCCTGAAAGCAGTGTCCTGGGCCACTTTACCTTTTCACTGGCAGTGTCACTTTAGTGGAGCAACACGAACCCTGGAGCCCTTCCTTTTTTCCTAGTGCTAAGTATTTTTTTTTTTTTAATTTATTTATACAAGAACCAAGGTACAGGCCAGATGCACGGGAGGGTGAGAGGATTCACCAGAGGCAGAGCGGGGAACAGAACAGGCAGGCAGACTGAAATACACTGCTGAGGGCATGAGCAGGCACGACAGAAGTCTGCTGTGCTATGTGGGACCCTCACTGGACGCTGGGGATCGAACTGGCGCTGCGGAGGCTGCGGACAGCTTCACGGCTGCGCTCAACCACCTGTGCCACAAGGGGAGGCCCTAGTGCTAGTATTAAGGTGAAAACTAGTACTAGTGCTAAACTTATCACAGGTGGTTTTAGAATTGGTAAATAAATGTATGAGAGGACAATTGCAAAAAGCTGTCCAAAAGCTTGCTAACTCATTTTTTCAGAAATGAGGTTGCATTTGATAAGTGCTGTTGATTTCATCCTTTAAATACAAGGTTGCAGGGCCTCCTTGGTGGCGCAGCGGTTGAGCCCTGGGCTGCAAAGCTGCCCGCAGCCTCTGCAGCACCGGTTGGATGCCCGGTCTCCAGCGAGGGTCCCACATGGCGCGCAGACCTCTCCTGCTGCCCGCTGCTCCCCTCAGCAGTGTACTTCGTCAGTCTGCCTACTCTGCTCTCCCCTCTGGCTCTGGTGAATTCTCTCACCCTCCCGTGCTTCTGACTGTATCCAGTGTTTGTTTAAATAAATCTTAAAAAAAAAAAGTTTAAAAATAAATTAATTAATTAAATAAATACAGGGTTGCTCTGGCTTCTCTTTAGTTGTCATTCAGATTGGTGTTAAGTTTCAGTATCTCTTTTGTGTACACGTTGATAAACTTTTACCTCTCTGTTAATTCAGGAGTGTGTGTCCTTAGAAAAGAATTTGCTGATAATTTTGATACAATTGAACATTATATTTTTCCTAGAAGTTACTTCATATAATCCAGAAAGCATTTATCATTTATCTCCTTATACAGCAAAGGCTTAGGGATATCAAGGGACCCCCTACCCCCACCCCTGCTTACATAGCTAGGGAGTTGCTGGCACCAGATAGTGCACACGTTATACTGAGCAAACCCAGAATTTGGTGAGCAGCTGCTTCTCTCTTTTATGGTTTTCTTTTTCCCAGGAAGACCAGAGGGGAAGCTGTTCCTCTTAACTGTGTCTTCCTTGAGACCATGAAAGAGAACACAAAGGTGGTTGGTTCTTGTCTTTTCCCCTGGAGCTTAACTATTTTTCTTCATTCAAGTTGTTAGAATTTTCTTTTCTTTTTTTTTTTTTTTTTAATAGAGGCATGCTTTATTTATTTGTTTGCTGGTTTGTTTGTTTGTTTTGTTTATACATGCACTGGGTATAGTCAGAAGCGCGGGAGGGTGAGAGAATTCACCAGAGCCAGAGCGGGGAGCAGAGCAGGCAGAAGGACCGAAGTACACTGCTGAGGGGAGCAGCGGGCGGCAGGAGAGGTCTGCACGCCATGTGGGACCCTCCTCCGGTGGCCGGGGAGAAGCCGGGGATTGAACCGGCGGCGCAGAGGCCGCGGGCAGCTTCACAACCCAGCGCTCAACCGCTGCGCCACCGGGGAGGCCCAAGTTGTTAGAATTTTCATCTCAGACAACCATATAGGTTATAAACTGGAAATGCAAACCCAGGTCTTTTTGTTTTTAAATCTAGTGTCCACTGCAAATTAGATCAGCTCCCTATTTAAAAGTTTTCAATCCATGTATACACCTGTTATATTTAATTGAACCACGTGAAATTTGCAATGCTCAACATGTTTTACCTGTGAAAATGGTGGTTTCTTTCAGTATCATCAGCCTGTGGTTCATAGTCATCTAAAAAATAATTTTCTGGGCCTCCCCTGGTGGCGCAGGCGGTTGAGCATAGCGCTGTGAAGCTGTCCGCAGCCTCTGTAGCACTGGTTCCATCCCAGCCGGCCGGCAAGAGTCCTATATAGTGTGGCCGACCTCTCCTGTCTCGCCTGCTGCTCCCCTCAGCAGTGTATTTCTTCAGTCTGCCTGTTCTGTTCCCCTCTGTGCCTCTGGTGAATCCTCTCACCCTCTCGCGCATCTGGCCTGTACCCCGGTTCTTATATAAATAAATAAATAAATTTTTAAAAAATAATAAAAATAAAATAATTTTCTTCAAATGTAAGACTTAATGGTGGAATACTTGTGAATATTTTTAGAACAGGAATTCCTTGTGATTGGTTCCTGGCATCTAATAGCTGCTTATTAAAAAAGCAAGAAATATCTGTTATTTGAAATGAATTTGAAGGTATTACTAATGCCGTATGTAACTTTTTTACTTAAAGAGTAATATTTATTGAATACCTATTATAGGTAAAAATTAATATTAGCATTTTTATAGACATTACATGTTTCCTTTACATGAAATGTAGATATTCTCATTTTATGGAAGAGTTTATGTATCCAGAGCAGTGGAGCTGAGATTTAAACACAGAATTTACAGGGCCTCCCTGGTGGCGCAGCGGTTGAGCGCTGGGTTGCGAAGCTGCCCATGGCCTCTGCGGTGCCGGTTTGATCCCCGGCTGCTCCCCGGCCACCGGAGGAGGGTCCCACATGGCGCGCAGACCTCTCCTGCCGCCCGCTGCTCCCCTCAGCAGTGTACTTCGGTCCTTCTTCCTGCTCTGCTCCCCGCTATGGCTCTGGTGAATTCTCTCACCCTCCCGCACTTCTGACTGTACCCTGTGCTTGTATAAACAAACAAACAAATAAATAAAATAAATTAAAAAAAAAAAACATGCCTCTAAACACAGAATTTACAAACTAACTTGTTCTTAGTTTTCTTTTTTTTTTTTTAAGATTTATTTATTTATACATATAAGAACTGGGGTACAGGCCAGAGGTATGGGGGGTGAGAGGATTCATCAGAGACAGCGGGGAACAGAACAGGCAGACTGACTGAAATACAATGGTGAGGGGAGCAGCGGGTGAGACAGGTGAGGTCTGCTGCACCATGTTGGTTACCTCCCCCGCTGGGGATTGAGCGAGTGCTGCATCTTAACCCCTTGTGCCACCAGGGAAGAAGCCCCTGGTCCTTAGTTTCCTTATGCTGAAGTTACAGTAAAAATCTCAGTGATGAGGGAAAACAAATTATATAGTAGACTGTGAGCACTCAATCCTGGGGTCCCAGTGCTTCTTAAATCTATAAATACTGACAGAGCATATAACTTCTTTATGATATGAAATACTATAAAGTTGGGAACATAGTGATTCCTCCTTATTAAAAGCTATTGCAGATATAAAAAGTGAGGAAGAATAGCTGACATAATTACTGATATTTATTATTTTTTTTTTTAAAGATTTATTCATTTATTTATACAAGCACTGGGGTACAGTCAGAAGCGGGGAGGGTGAGAGAATTCACCAGAGCCAGAGCGGAGAGCAGAACAGGCAGATTGATGAAGTACACTGCTGAGGGGAGCAGCGGGCCGCAGGAGAGGTCTGCGCGCCATGTGGGACCCTCGACCCGAGGCCGGGGATTGAACCGGCTCTGCAGAGGCTGCAGGCAGCTTCGCAACCCAGTGCTCAACTGCTGTGCCACCGGGGAGGCCCTAATTACTGATATTTATTGAGTGCTTACAAATAATCAGGTAGCATTCTAGGTACTTGTCCATATATTTAGTTTATGAAGAGTGCTGGACGCATAGCAGGTGTTAAATGAATGGTAGTTACTATTTATGCTTGCTTTTTATTTTCAGTATTATTATTACAGAAGTAGTTACTATTTATGAATTTACGCTTGCTTTTTTTTTTTTTCCCCAGAGAGCCCGAGGCCATCACATTATACCCTGTACCATATCTCAGTTGCTCTCTGCCAACATGGTTAATGAAGTGTTCAAGATTGGGAATGTTGAGATTTCACAGGTATGTAAAATAACTGGTGTAAAATAATATGTAACTATGAATTAAAACTTACTTCCCTTATAAAACTTACATATACATAAATGTTGCTTTGGTCCAAGAGAATAAACTTTTTTCCTCTTCTGATTTAGGTCACTATTGTGGGGGTAATCAGACATGCAGAGAAGGCTCCAAGCAGCGTTGTGTACAAAATAGATGACATGACAGCTGCACCCATGGATGTTCGCCAGTGGGCTGACCTGGAAGTAAGCTGAGGCTTTTGAATCAGGGTGGGGTTACTTTGGGACTTTGGACATGTTGCACTTTTTCAGTCTTGACTTTTTAAACGCTCTTATAAAAATGACACATTTAAAAATTTTTTTAAAAGATTTATTATGCATACCAAAGCTGGGGTACAGGCCAGAAGGGTAGGGGGGCGCGGTGAGAGGATTCACCACAGACAGAATGGAGAACAGAACAGGCAGATCGACTGAAGTACACTGCTGAGGGGAGCAGTGGTCAAGTCAGGAGAGGTCTGTTGCACCATGTGGGTTGCTTGCTGGCCGGTGGGGAATCGAACTCATGCTGCAGAGGCTGCAGCAGCTTCATAGGTTGTGTCTTAACCCCTTGCGCCACCAGGGAGGCCCCACATTTAAAAATTTTAAGTAATAAAAGCTCTAACAAAGCAGAAGATAATAATAATAAAAGAACTTCAGTTTAGCAAAATGGTCAAAGATGCTTAATTTATAATAGATGGGGCCTCTCCGGTGGCGCAGTGGTTGAGCGCTGGATTGCGAAGCTGCCTGTGGCCTCTGCGGCACCGGTTCGATCCCCGGCTGTTCCCCGGCCACCGGAGGAGGGTCCCACATGGTGCACAGACCTTTCCTGCCGCCCGCTGCTCCCCTCAGCAGTGTACTTCGGTCCTTCTGCCTGCTCTGCTCCCTGCTCTGGCTCTGGTGAATTCTCTCACCCTCCCGCACTTCTGACTGTACCCAGTGCATGTATAAACAAAACAAACAAACAAATAAATAAAATATGCCTCTATTAAAAAAAAAATTTATAATAGATGAAAAACAAGTTGCAACAAAAATAACAAGCCACTTTATCTTCTTTTAACTTACTAAATTGGCAAAGTGAAAAAAGAATGACAATGTCAGGCCTCCCTGGTGGCGCAGCTGTTGAGCGCTGGGTTGCAAAGCTGCCCGCAGCCTCTACTGTGCTGGTTCGATCCCTGGATGCTCCCTGACCACCGGAGGAGGGTCCCGCATGGTGCACAGACCTCTCTTGTCGCCCGCTGCTCCCCTCAGCCGTGTACTTCGTTCCTTCTGCCTGCTCTGCTCCCCGCTCTGACTCTGGTGAATTCTCTCACTCTCCTGCGCTTCTGACTGTACCCAGTGCTTGTATAAATAAATAAACAAACAAATCTTAAAAAAAAAAAAAAAAAAGAATGACAATGTCCACTTCTGGTGAAAGCAGCAGCTAGTACAGTGCCACTACCGGGTGCTTGATCTGTTGAATGTTTTGTCATTGTTTATTTAAGGAAGTGGATACCATCTACCCTAATGGTATCAGTATAAATTTGTATAACCATTTTCAAAAATCAGTAGATGACCACAATTACCCATCGTTAAAACCTAGCACCCCACTGCTAGAGATTTACATTAGGGAAATACTTAAAGATATGTACAGGGATGCAGTTGTAAGAATGTTGATGATAACATTGTTTATAATAAACAAACAAGCAATTTCAAAATGCTAGCACTAGGGGAACAGTGGGTAAGACAGGAGAGGTCTACTGTGCCATGTGGGTTAGCTCCCCAGCTGGGAATCAAACTCATGTTGCAGTGGCTGGCAATAGCTTGCTAGTGCTGAGACTTAACCCTTTGTGCCACCAGGGAGGTCCCAAAGAAATTTTTAATCTTAACCTTGGTTTTTCAGAAAAGCAGATTCTAAAAGGGGAAACTTGTTATATTAAGGATACTTTGTCTTAATTTGTAACTTTCTCTTTCTGAATATGATTTAGAAATGTTAAAGAGATTTTTATGAACATTACTAAAACCTTAGTGATATATTTGTATTTTATCTACTAGGATCCCAGTGATGAAAACACTGTGGTTCCTCCAGAAACGTATGTGAAAGTGGCTGGCCATCTGACACCTTTTCAGGTAAAGTAAAAAAAAAAGACAGTTTAAATACTTTCACATGAGATTGTTTTTAATTCATGCCTGAATTTAGCATTCAGTAATTCCTCACTTAATTACAATGTAATAACAATTACACTATCAGATAATTTTTTAGATACTGGGACTTTAAGCAAAACTATGCACAGTGAAACCAATTTTGCTGTAGACTGATAGAAAAAAGTTAATTTCCGCTAACATTTCTGGTCACAATAGTGTCACCAAACTTCTAAAAACCCCAAATGACTCTAATATTAAGTAATCATTTTTTATTCATTCATTTTCCAATCTGCTTATTCCATTTCAGGCTATGGATGGGCAGAGTCTGTCTTGGTAGCTCAGGTACAACCCTGGACAGAATACCTCTGCATTGCAGGGCCCACTCACACACAACCACACTCACTCCACCTGGGACAGTTAGTTGTGCCAGTTAACCTAATGTATACACCTTTGGACTATGGGAGGAAACCGAATTAGCTGAGAGAACGCACATAAGATATGAGGAGAGGGTATAAACGCCACACAGTGACCCTCACCTGGAGTGATTTGTTTTTTTCTCATCAGTGTTGTAAGACCTCTTTTAATTGAGGATCTGCTGTAAAACACATTATTCCCATATTAACAAAAATATTATAACCAAGAAAAGAGCTGTAGTATTTTGCCCTGAAATGTGTTCATCTGTTATTCACATTTTTCTCTTTGTTTTAATAGAACAAAAAAACCCTGATAGCCTTTAAGGTTATGCCCCTGGAGGATATGAATGAGTTCACCACACATATGCTGGAAGTAGTCAATGCACACATGATGCTGAACAAAGCTAACACCCAGGTGGGTTTTTTCCCTTCCATGGGAGGATATAGATAGTTTCTGTGCTCTGGCTCGGATTTCCTCAACATTTTGGAGGTTGAACCAGAAGAAAGAGTTTACTCACTTTTCAAAACACTTCCTACATGAACTTCACTGTATTGTTTTCATCCATATGAAGCACTCATGTTGCCCTCCGAATGATGAGTTTCTTTGATGCCATTGGGTTGAAGGGTAAGGCCTAAAACAATCCTCAAGTGTAGCACCATAACTGTAGCCTGAACCTTTAGCTCCCAGATTGCCAGCGTGTATGCAGAGAAAACCCCTAAGGAGGACAGCATTTTGCTGCTTCCCTTCCAATCTATTGACTAATTAGGAAGCTATACACTATTATTTTGTCTCTAAAATTTCTCAACATTATTTTCTGTGGTATGAATTCAATTTGACAAACTCATCTAGAATCACACAAAGGATTTGTTGATTCTAATATTAGAATGTCCTGTAATGATTCTCGTGGCAAGTTGGAGGATTGGTTACAGAAGGAGGTTACAGAAGGAGACTCTTGAGAACAAATAAGCAGTAAGGATGCTATTGCATCCTGTTCTGTACTAAGCACTTTGTTAACCACTAGGGATGCAGAAATAAATTCTTTCATTTGAAAAATGTTGAGCCTAGTATGTACCAAAAATTATTCTAGGCCCTTATAATACAGCAGTGAACAGATGGATAAAGTGTTTACTCTCATACTTGGATTCTTGAGAGAAATAGGCAGTACACAAAAAGACAAATAATGTAATTTTGGGTAGTTATAGGTGCTCTGAAATAGAGTAGAAGAGAATAAGGAAGGAGTAAGAGTGGTAAAATTTTAGAAAAGAACATTCCAATCAGAGGGAATAAAAACTGTTAGGAGGCTGGAATGAACTGGCTATGTCTGAGACCAACAAGAAGGCCAGAGTGTCTGTAAGGGAAACCAGTGACAGGTAAAATAGTAAGGGATATAGGCAGAGGTAGAACCCAGATCTTGTAGGGCTTTGGAGGCCATAGTAAGGACTGCTCTCTTTCAGTTGATACTAAACATTCAGAAGCTTTTGACTAGGGAGTGATGTGGTTTGATTAATCTTTTTAAAAGCTCACTTGGCTGCTCTACGGAGAATAGACTATGAGACACCAAGAATAGCAGCAGACAGAATTCAGAAGAATGGTAACAGCAGCTATAATAGAAAGTGGTTGGATTCTGATAAATTTTGAAGGTAGCAGCAACAGGACTTTGGTGGGTTAGATAGAAAACACCAAAAAAGGGGAAGGTCCAAAAATAGCCCCTAGGATTGGGGCAGGGGTGACTTGATGAAGCTGGCAAGTTTGGAGGATAAAATTGAGACTCCTATTTTGGCCCTTTACCCAGGGTGAGATGCCAGCTAGAGCTCTAAGTGGAGAATAAAATGGGTAATTGAATATATAAGATTGGGGCTTAAGAGAGGTCAGGGCTAGAGATAGAGCTGTGGGAGCCATTGTCATGTAGGTGATGTGTCACACATCACCTCGGATGAGATGAGACACTAGGAGTGAGAGCTCTGGAACATGCTAACCTTTGGAAGTCTGGAGCAGAACAAGACCAGTGAAAGTAAAAAAATCACCAGTTTTCCTAACTAGGAAATACGATTCTGCAGAATGTTTTGGAAAGAGTATTTTAAGAAGGTCGAGTGGAAATTACGGAGTGCTGCATGGAAACCAAGTAAGATGACAATGTTCTGCTATCACACTTGAAAACATGGGTCTTCAAAAGAAAGGCTTCAGGAGAGGGTAGGGGAAAAGTGAGTTAGAGAATGGGGTTGAATAGAAAGTGTAGGATATTTATTTCATTACTGTATTTTATAACTTGTGTATGTATGTATCAAATATATGATAAAAACAGAATGGCTTTAATGGTAGTTGGGGAGTGAAAACTAGGTATATAGACAATTATATTGAGCAGTAAATAAAGTAGTCCTCACCCTCAAAGAGTTTGCTTTAAGCTTTGAAGGTTCAGCTCACTTAAGCAGTGAAAGCCTTGATAAGTGGCAAGTGCTTGTGTCATGGAACCACAAAGAAGGGTTCCCCAACCTGACCCCTAGAGGGAGTGATGTCTTTAAAACCACGAGGCAAGGGCACCTGAAACAGGACATGAGGCTTTTTCAGCAAAGGTGTTTGGGTAAAAAATAGCATTAAGTTCAGTGTTAACAGATCATAAAATGTAAGATTTCTGTTTTACCAGCAAGCAATGTGAAAGTTTCTAGCTTCAAAACAAGGAATGATGATTGATTTCTCTCTTTTTTTTTCTAAAGGTTTCTTTATTCATGCAAGAGCTGGGGTGCAGGCCAGAGGGAGTTGGGGAGGATGAGAGGATTCACCAGAGACAGAGTTGGGAGCAGAACAGCTGGATTGACTGAAATACACTGCTGAGGGGAGCAGCGGGCGAGACAGGACAGGTCTGCTGTGCCATGTGGGTCAGCTCCCTGGCTGGATATCAAACTCATGCTGCAGTGGCTGGTGATAGCCTGCTAGTGCTGAGACTTAATCCCTTGTGCCACCAGGGGGGCCTAGATTTTTGTTTTTCATCACCTCATAGTATTGGGTATTTAACAAATGTTTGAGGAATGAATGAAACTCCTGACAGGTACAGTGCCCCTGTATCTGTCATGGGTAGTTATATATTTTTTTAAAGATTTATTTAGTTATGCATATAAGAACTGGGATACAGGAGAGGTACGGGGGGTGAGAGGATTCACCAGAGACATGCAGATGAACTTGAGTTGCACTGAAGGTTATATTACTGGGCTGTGGGGGCAGATTTGGAAGGTGAAGGAATGGAGACTCAGACAACTAATGTGTGCAGGATTGAGTTGGTTTTTTTTTTTTTTTTTTTTTTAAAGATTTATTTATTTATTTATTTATTTATGCAAGAACCGGGGTACAGGCCAGATGCACAGGAGGGTGAGAGGATTTACCAGAGACAGAGCAGGGAACAGAACAGGCAGACTGATGAAATACACTGCTGAGGGGAGCAGTGGGCATGACAGGAGAGGTCTGCAGCGCCATGTGGGACCCTCGCCGACTGACCAGGATCAAACCAGTGCTGCAGAGGCTGTGGACAGCTTCACAGCGTGGCGCTCAACCGTCTGCGCCACCAGGGGAGACCTGAGTTTGGGTTTATTAATTGAGGAATTATCGCAGAAAGCAGGTTTAGGGAGAAAAGTAAATAATTTTACCATAAAGTGTGTGAGCCTGTCTCTGTGGAAGTTGTCTGTGAACAAGGATTTGTGGCCTAAGAGGAGGTTCCAGATGAGATCTGGGGGGACTGTCAGCCCTTGGGAGACAGAAGAAGCTATTGATAAGGATAGTACAAAGGTATAGTTTGAGAAGTAACTGCAGAACCAGAAGAATATGGTATCATGAAGCCTAGGAGAGGAGTGTATTTTGAAAGGGGTGTGGTCAGTGGTGTCTGCTTCTGAGAGGCCAGGTGTTATGAGAACTGAAAGAGACTTGGGTATATTTAAAAGTCATTAGTGACTTTGTTGACAACAGTTTCAGAGGTGTATTGGGAGAATGAAAACCATGATTGTGGTCAACTATTTTTTTTTTTTAATTGGTGGTGAAAAGGAAGAAAAGAGGTGATTGGAACACTCCTTAAAAAAATTTTTTTAGGGCCTCCCCAGTGGCGCAGCGGTTGAGCGCTGGGTTGCGAAGCTGCCCGTGGCCTCTGCAGCGCCGGTTCGATCCCCGGCTGCTCCCTGACCACTGGAGGAGGGTCCCACATGGCCCGCAGACCTCTCCTGCCGCCCGCTGCTCCCCTCAGCAGTGTGCTTTGGTCCTTCTGCCTGTTCTGCTCCCTGCTCTGGCTCTGGTGAATTCTCTCACTGTGCTTCTGACTGTAACCAGTGCTTGTATAATAAATAAATAAAATAAATCTTTAAAAAAAAAAATTTTATTTTGTTAAGGTAACTGGTTTGCAATACTGTATGACTCAGAAATAGAGGCTCCCACCTTTGCAGGTGTATGTTACACACCACAGGCACCAACAATGCACCAGTAGTCCTCCTCTGTGCCCTTTGTTGTTCACCCTCCTTGTATCACTTCATGCCTAATTGACACTCAATGCTTGAGTGATTGATCACCAGGGATATCACTGTAGCCAATTTCCAGGTAATTTTCTTCTCAGCCCAAGTTATCCTCTCGTTCCTTACATCACAAAGAAAAGAAGGATCCAGCAGGTACCCTTTTCTCTCTCTGATAGTATGTGCTTCAGAGGATTACTTGTCCTTCCTCTGAAACACTCAGAAGACAAAAGGAGGGCCTCCCTAGTGGTGCAAGGGGTTAAGCAAACCGCAGCCTCTGCAGCACGAGTTTGATTCCCGGCTGGCCAGGGAGAAACCCAAATGGCGCAGCAGACCTCTCCTGTCTCACCCACTGCTCCCCTCAGCAGTGTATTTCAGTCAGTCTGCCTGTTCTGTTCCCTGCTCTATCTCTGTTGAATCCTCTCACCCCCCGCATCTCTGGCCTGTACCCCAGCTCTTGTATGCATAAATAAAGAAATCTTTTTTAAAAATTTAAAAATAAAAGATAAAAGGAGCAATAGCAATGAAAACTATAATAATCAGTTAAGGGAAACATGAAAAAAGGAGTTGAAAAAAATGACATCAAAAATATAAACTGTGAGGAAGAAGAGTGAATAGAATGACCTCAAAATTAATTTGCTATCAGTTTGAAATACTCTTTAGATTATTTGGTCTCCCCATATAGATACTTGTTTTGGGGGAAACTCTGTTTAAGTTTTCTTAAGCTGATAAGTAGGACTGTGTTTGGTGAATTTTCTAATGTTGTGAATTTAATTCAGCCCCCAGCATGCAGACCAGATCCAGGAATGACTGGAGCAGGAAACTTTAATAACTTCACGCCAGCAAATGGCCTCACTGTGGCCCAAAACCAGGTAAACACCTGAGTGGCTCCAGGAATGCAAAACACAGACAATCCTAAATTTTATAACTTCCTTAATGATTCTAATGTGAAGTACCTGACTCATTTCTTTGTTATAAAGGGATTCATATTTATATGGAGGAGCAGATTCAGAGTAGTTGCTAAAATCTTTCTGATTGGACTCTTTAGGTACTGGATTTGATCAAGGCTTGTCCAAGACCTGAAGGATTGAACTTTGAGGAGCTCAAGAGTCAACTCCACCATATGACTACCATCTCAATCAAGTAAGTGTTTGTACCCCTTTCACCTCACCAGGGTTTCCTAGTAATGAGAAATGAGTTTTAAAAAACAAAACCAAACTGTCTCCCATCCCAGGAGGGGAGTTGTTAGTAGTAGGAAAAGAAAAAGAATGACAAAGGTGGTCCTCCCTGTCACAAACCTCATTTGTTTGTTTATTCAACATACGCTAAGGCCTATGATGTACAGGGAAAATAATTTTGCATAAAAACTGACCTGGTGCCTCTTGCCAGAATTTATTCTGAAGGAGCAAGGTCCTTTGCTCCTGGTGCTCAGTTGGCCGGGCCCATCTGTGGTACTGCTCCCGCTGGGGAGGTATGTCCTATCAGGCATTCTAGATCTGATGGCATTAGACTTTTTTCTAACTAGAAAAGAAATGCTTGTGTCTAATTCCATTTCTTATATAAAACTAGGATAACAATTTCTCTCTCTGTCACTGTGGTTATGATGAGGCACAGAATGACTGTCATTAACTGTTGCTGACACTGACCCTGACAGTCTTGAGAGGGGTTTGAAGGTGCCAAACCATATTGAAGAGCTCTTTTCTTTATTTCCTGCAAGTCCACTTCCTAGAGGGGGAGCTGCTGGGTCAGTTGGGGGGGGGAAGAGAGGACTTACAAAAAGAGCTGTTTATAGGAGCTTTTATGTACACACGGAACTGTAGCTTTAGATCCCTGTTTTGATTTGTTTAGACTGGTACTTAGGGTGAGGCACTGTTGCTTTTACACAGTTTGGAGAGGGGTGCTAGGCAGCCCAGTCATTGTTTCTCTGGAGTACCTCAGTTTTGTGATTCTGCTGGCATTTCCCCCTCCATGATCCTTTTTGACCAAAATGGTATGAATTCTGAGACAATGAGGGGCTGAGTGAAGTGTACATATTTAATGGTATCCAAAGGCAGTGTCTGTTCTTCTGTTCTTCTTGGTTATAAAATGTGCCTTTTTTCTTTCTAGGCAAGCTGTGGATTTTCTAAGCAACGAGGGCCACATCTATTCCACTGTGGATGATGATCATTTTAAATCCACAGATGCAGAATAACTGGATCTTATTGGGCCCCTGAGATATTTTCCAACTGGACCTGTTTTCACAATCTGTTGTCTTAACTCACTGCTTAAGTTTTTTGAAGCTCCAAGAGATGTAAACCAGGGTCGAACTTCCTAAGTTAGAAACTAGTTACAACATCAGGATAGGTGGAGTTGAAAGGGAGGTGCTACGAGAGTGAGTTCGTATTACTGAAATACCAGAAGGGGTTCTCTATGACTGAAGTGCTTGAGAGACAATGAGCAGGACTGCAGAAGGTGATGGGTCTGTTAGCAGAGCGCTAACCAAGAATCTACTAACTTCTGCCAGTTTTTGTTCCCCACTTTGGTTATATGGTGTTGCTTTCAGAATTGCACTTTCCTTCGTTTTGTCAGAACTGCTGCCTGGACTTGTTTTTTATAAAGATGAGGTCCTAGAGCAGTGGACTTGGGAGTAGAAGAGAAGAAATGTTATTGTGTTTTGTACAAAGTAAGTACATTCATGTTTAATAAAATAGTTCTATTATTGCAGTGACCTGTGAAAATGTTATTTTTCTTTTTCTTTTTTTTTTTTTTTAAAGATTTATTTATTTATTTATACAAGCACTGGGTATAGTCAGAAGCACGGGAGGGTGAGAGAATTCACCAGAGCCAGAGCGGGGAACAGAACAGGCAGACCGACGAAATACACTGCTGAGGGGAGCAGCGGGCGCGACAAGAGAGGTCTGTCACGCCATGTGGGACCCTCGCCGGCGGCCAGGGATGGAACCAGTGCTGCAGAGGCTGTGGGCAGCTTCACAGCCCAGCACTCAACTGCTGCGCCACCAGGGGAGGCCCTATTTTTCTTTTTAAACTGGTGTAACAGAGCAGTGTAACGGATGATCACTTGGATTTAAAATCCTGGCTCTTCTCCTTTTTAGTTAGGATCTTAAACTACTTTGCTGTGAGAGCCTCTATTTCCTCACTTATGAAAAGAGGAGTTATTTCCTTACAAGTTTGTTATGAAAATTGAATGAAATAAAGTTTGTAAGGCAATAACATTGCCATTAATAGGGTTATAAATGATTTTCTGGCAGTATGTGATCACATAACTAAATGGAGTATCTACTCTTTGACCACAAGATGAGACTAAAAGCTTTGACTATTTTTTGGCCTACTTAATCAGTTCCGTTACCTTGTGGGAGAGGAAATTCATTCAAAGATGTTTTTCACAAATCCGAAAGTAATGTCTTGAAAAGAAGAATTAATTCTGAGACTAGTTAATGATGTATAACATGCAAATGAAGGATTCTATAACTGCTTTGTTTCTAAATGAGATCCAGCAGCTGTGTGGAGAAGCCTCCACCCTCCCAGTTTCTGATAATTTGACAGTTATTTTCTATATGCACAATCTGAACAGTCACACAGATATTGGAAGTCAGCCAAGCCAATATGTTTATTTACAAGTAAATGTGAATTTAGAGTGCATGATAGGTACTTTCATGGTTGGTGGAGTTTCTCTTTCTATTTATCAGACGAGTGCCCTCAAGCTGGCAAGGCAGTAGCAGTGCTGGGAAATATCTTTTGGTTTTGAATCTTGATTTAGCAATTAAAAATTACTAATTAATTCAGCAAGTGTTTATTGTGTCCCTGTTAGTCAGGTACTAGGAATGGTGTCACTGGACTTATGGGTCCATGTTCCCAGCAGCACAGTGGGGCTGCTCACTGGTTCTGAATTCCCAAGCACTTTGGGAGCCTGTGGGACAGGCCTGCCGCTCCTCAGCAGAATGGAACTCCAGCCTTTGCAGGAGCATTGCATTTTCGGTATTTGTGGTCACCTGGATGTCAGACAGATGTTCTCGCTGCCTATTACTGAGTCAGCAACAACGGACAGTATGGCTCAAGTTTTAGAACTCCCCCATGTCATAGCCAAACAGTGTCCAGCCTGCTCTCCGGAGATGCAATGGAGCTAGGAAGTGAGTCTTCTTGGGAAACAAGAAACAGTACTTTACAGGGCTTAACTAGAGAAAGTTCAGGAGATTAGTACCTGATGTGGATGGGTCATTTGTTTTTAAAAATGCAGTTGCGGGACATTCAAAACTCATTGGTAAATATTTTTGAGCAAGCATCCCCAGTTTTTATATTCATTTATTTAGCAGTGATATACAGCTATCATTGTATGTTACACATTACAAAACATTCACAAATAGAAATTTAAAAGGATGTTAAAAATAAATATGAAAGGATAATACTATTTCCCAGGGGATCACCTTGAATACCTTAGATATGTATGCTCATTGGAGACCACTGCTCTGGGGGAACCCCCAGCCCCATTAGAATACCCGGCCAGAGGCAAAAAGGCAAGAGCACCCTGAGGTTGGTATCCTATGGTCCCCTACCAGCCAAACCCCCCACCCATTTCTCTGATAAAACATTCACAGTTGTGGTTTTCAAATGTTTCCTTTTAAGCCCAGCTTTCCCTGCTGTGAAATGGCTTCATTTCTTCTCATTGCAGTGTTTGCCCTCTCAGAAATGACCTTTTGTAGCAACTGCTAGCCCTCTTCCCTCTCTGCTTGTGATCTTGCTCAATTTGGTGTCAAGATTAAATGCAAATGTGAAAGCGAAAAATAGCAACATTTTGCATGTGAGCTAGGTTCCTAGGAGTTCTGTGCGAAGGAGGAGCTTGCTTACAGCTTGTCCCAGAGTACTCTCTTCCTTGGGGTTGTCCTGCACAGGTTAGATTGTCTCTGGAGGTTGGCATGAAAACTGGTAGAAGGTAAGGGATGGGGCGCTAGATACTGGGGACTGGCCCAGCAGTCTGTAGTAGCCACTCAGCGATCTGGAGAAGTGTGTCCAGGGGTATGGAGGCTAGGCCTAGGAAGTACAGGGGTCCAGACAGGCCAGAGGGATGTTAGCAGGAAAAGGAAGGACATACCCAGGTGCAGTGCCTAGAATCCAAGAGCTGGAAATTTGTCTCTTCTAGTCCCACCTCAGCTGATGACTCAGATCATCCTGTTTTTTCTTATCTTTGCCAACCAAGTACTTAGTTCTGTGACTATATCAACCCAGGAAACCAAAGTCCCACCACTTCTAGGAAATGAGGCCTGTGGTCTTACCTCATTGAGCAGGCATGGACTGACTTCGAAAGCTGATTTAGCCTCTATGTAAACACAGGCTTGTATTTGTTCTCTTACTTCCATTCTACTAGGTGGTGAGGCCCTCCAGCCAGTTACTGGGCTCTGTCTCTGGTCTCATACATTTAAGCACTGGGACGAATCCCATGACTGGCAGATGATGTAGGCATGTGGAAAGAGGATAGGTTTGGAGATAGGCACAGCTACGTGATCTTGGTCAACAAGAATGAGACTACTGCTTATTGACTATTATGTACCAAGCACTATGCTGACTGCTTTACGAAGCTTATCTCATTTGATAAAATCAGTTTGAGAGGTAGCTAACTTAGTTTCATTTTACCTAGGAAGAAGCTGAAGCTTAGGTTAAATAGCTTGTTTATTCCAGGCTCATGACTAGTCTGCCTTCTAAAGCACTTGGCCACTCAAGTTAGTTTCCTGACTTTTAAAATAAGACCACTGTCTGTCTCAGAGAGTAGCGCATTTAGATGGGCCTGTAGAGGATCTGGCATGCAGAACTTAGTGATATCACATTTTCCCAGAAGCTCAGATGTCATTTTTATTCCATGGTCTTAGAATGAAATCCTCATGGACAGTGACTACAGCTGTCAGGTGCTCGGTGCTGCGGAGATGAGGAAGACAGTTCTGGACCCAGAAGCTTAGAGCCTTGGTGGGGAGGGGATGGCAAATGTAAAAAAGGGCTCTCAGTGCAGTGTGATCATGATCATTCCCTTTACCGGGAGGCAAGAGTCACTGTGGTGGACGGTCTCTTTGGTTCTCGTGTGTACCGACCAGGGGAACAACCGGACACAGGATTGGGTAGAACCCAGTGGCTCCTCTGGATACCAAATCTCTGAGGCGAGGGAGTCAGTGTAAGGTGCTGGGCCCAAGTGAGCAGCCCTCAGTGGCAAGAACCTAGAACCTGAGGGAAGCTAGTGCAATGTCCATTGCAGATCAGTGCCCACAATACCACTTCCTGCCCACAATCTAATCTGTGAGACCTTATCCAAGATCTGCTAAAGGCCTGCAATGGTTGGCTGGTATCAGGATTCCCTGAGAAGCAGCAGTTAAGAAGCATGACTCCTTCAACACCTACAGGGTTTTCCGAAAGTGCTCAGATACTACTTCATAATCGTTTACGTCTTCATAATCATGATCATCCGCATCTGAAAGAGAGTCCGAGTCAGTGAGGGTTTCTGGACTCAGGTCTCTTCCCTTCTTGAGGGCCCATTTTCCTTACCCGGACAGGGAAAGGGTTGGTCCAGAGGCTCTAAGATCCTTGCTAGCCCAGAAGCAACAATTTGCTCTCTGAGCACTAAATGCTCCCCTGGAGGCTTTGGAGACTGTAGTGTGTTGGGGGATAAGCTCATTTTCTTTGCCAGGACTCTGGGGACCCTGGGACAGGGATAGTGGGGTCCCTGCTGCCTAAGTTTACACCATATAGACCTGTCCATTCTTCTGGAACCACAGAAGGGTCTGCCCAGGAGCACTGCTGAGGGAAGGGCCAGCACCACTGGAGACGAATGCAGCAGAGTGGGGAAGGGAGAAATAAGTGACAGAGACTCACCTAGATCCTCTGTTTTGGCCTTAGTTTGCTTGCGGTCCTTCTTCTTGTCAGGAATCTTGCTGTATAGTTTTGACTTGTCCTTGGTAACCTCTGGCAAGGTCATCACCTTGGATTTGGGCAGCGGAGGGGGTTGTGGTTCTAACACTTGAAAAGGCTAAGGGAGAAGCAACAGAAGTCAACAGGGTTTCAAGAGTTCATGTAAGTCTCCTCAAGTGTCACTTCCTCTGTCCCTCCTTCCTTTTCAGGGTAGGCTTTCTTAGGACATTAGATATTTTTGTTCCAAATACACGAAATGTTCCTTGGCAGGTGAGAGAAAGGACAGGGGAGAGAATGACAGGGCTGGGGACTGGAGACAGGGAGTCCCTGAGTTTCTCCGCAGGGGTTTAATCCATGGCTCTCCAGTCTATTGCTGAAGGGAAAGAAATGGTCACAAAGTTCCAGAACAGAGTGCCAGAGCTAAGAGGGGTCCCAAAAGGAAGCGGACTTTCACTCAACTTCCTTGTGCTACAGGCACATCTGCTCATCTCATCCTGCGAGTAGCTGATTAAGTCTGGCTCTGTGAGAGTGCATCATGTCAAACTTTGCACAGGGAATCCTAGTTGGACCAGGGTTCGGACCCAGAATTACATCTGTGACTTCTAAAGGTCATTCCACCACGTCATGCTTTGGAGCGCAAACATATTGGAGCCTGATCAGCAGCAGAGGGTCTGAAGTTCAGAGGAGGAAAGTGGCCCATTTATGGGCAAGCCGGGACTGGGCCCAGAGTCACTACTTCAGACAGGGACTGAGGCCTCTTAATTCTTTACAGCCCTGTCACAAGGCCTGCATTTACATTCTTTGACCCATCAGAAAACAACAGCCTACCCCTCCCCTGCAGATAGGAGCCTCCTCTGGAGCTGCTCACCATGCAGCCTTTTCACTGCCTCTGCCTGCCCACATGGTACAAAATACGAGTCTCCCCAAACCCCAAAGCAAATGTTTGTCAGGTTCTAGAGTGCATTTTATGTAGATCATCCCCTCCTGTTCTCAGCTGAGCACAGTAGTTACATGCTCAGGTCAGAGAGTCTGGCTCAATTTCAGACCCCACTTATTAGCTGTGTGATCTTGAGTAAACCACTTGACTTCTCTGTGCTTGTCTTCTCAGCTAGGAGAAAAGCAGACATGCCCACCACAGACGGTGAAAGCTAATTGGGGGAATGCACAGAGGTAGATGCCTGCCACAGAGCGAGCCCCAGCGGAGCAACTGACCGAACAGCTCTGTGAGTTACTGCTGCTACCCCAGGCTCAGCAGTGCCTAGAGCGATAGAGAGCAGAGTGAACCAACAGGGACACAGCTTAGCCTTTCTGCCTGCGCCTGGTTCCTTCCCTATCCCTGTGATTCACTTTGGTTCAGTTCAGCACCCTCCAGCACTTTCTCTGCCCGCCTTGCAGTGGGGAAGTCCCTACCCCCGGGGACCCTCAGGTAGCCAGAGACTTGAGTACAACTAAGTGAACTAAAAATGATGTGCTCCCCACCCCTTACCCCCAAGCTCCCTACAACATGCAGCACAAATACAGAAGAGAAAGGAGGTCACCGCCCAGAGGAAGACCGCGGAGCCTTGCCCGGGAGAAACGACCTTTCTGACTCGAGAGTCAGGATGTGTAAAGTGCTGAGGCGGGGATCCTGCCGTGCTGAGGGCGTTTCAGGAGTCTGTGGACTGCAGGAGAGTGTGGCCTGCAGAGTGTGTGGTAGAAGATGGGCCTGGGAAGGCGGGACCAAAGTCAGCTTCCAAAAGATCCTGGATGCCACGTTAAGGGTCTACGTTATGCTCTAGTAATGGGGAGCCACTGGGGGTTTTAGAAAATGGGGCCAAGACCCATCAGTGACCAGGGAGGGTCTGGGAGGCCACTCTGGAGAGTAGAAGAGGCTGCCAAAACAGTCTAGGTGAAAAATGGTCACTCTTGAGCTAAGGGGTGTCAGCAGGGATGGCAGAAAGGTGGAGCACTGTGACCTTGGCGTCAGATGCTTGTGCTCTAGTTCTGGCCTCCCAATTGTTAGCAACTCTGGGAGGGTCTCAAGAGCTCATTTCATCAACCACAAAATACGGATCTCATACCACCAACATCAGAATTGTCAAGACCAAATAGGAATAATAGTTACTAAGTGTGCAATGCGATACACCCAAGTTCTGCACAATCATAAGAAGAACGTGTCGCTAGAGAAGGAATGGCAGCCTGTGCAAGGACCCCAGCCACCCCCCCACCCCCCGCCCACTCAGTCACATGGTACCTTGAAGCCTCCCTCCTTGCTGGTCTCTTTCTTCTGTTCCATGAGGCCCTTACTCTTCGGGGCCTGGGCGGAGGCACCTGGCTCTTGAGGGCAGGTAACTTCCGAAGGCGATAGTAGAAGGCATCGGTCACCTCCTGTACTGTGGCCGTGGGGACAGACCCAGCCAGCTGGCCCGGCAGCTCCTCAGCCTCCACCACGGTCAGGTCCAGCCACTGCGGCGGGATCTCAAAAGACACCCCAGGCTCAGAGTCCAGACTGACCACTAAGAACGGTTCTGTGAGCTTCTCCTCCAGCCGCAGGCCCAGGAAGGAGGGTAGAGGGTCAGCGGGGTAGCTGGCGTCCTTGGTCACCACCTTGACCTCACAAGGCAGTGAGAACTGGGCAGTCAGGTCCGCCAGGCTGTAGCGCCGGCCATCATTCATCTCCTCCACGAAGCAGCCGGAGAAATAGAGCGGCAGCAGAATCCGTTCTTGGTCCTCCACCTCCTCCTCAGACTCGTCCTCCTCATCCTGGTCACTGAGCCGCTGACACACCAAGACGTCTATGTCCCTGCCGTGCGCCCCGTGGGCCTGGCCAGACCCCAACACCTCCAGCCTGTCACCCATAGCCAGGGATGCAAACTCAGGGGTGTCCATCCCCTCGCCCTCACAGTCCTTGGTGGCCACCACCCGGAGCTTCCTGCCTGGCTGGAGAGCACCCAGCAGGTCATAGGCCGTGGGGAAATCACGCGGCCGCCGCCGCATCTTGCCCTGGTAGGCCCCGGAGACCATGAAGTGTCTGGGCACCTTCTTGCCCTTGGTGGAGGCCAGGATCCGCCAGGGTGGTAAGGCCAGCCCGTGGATGCACATTCGCTGGCCTTTCTGCAAGGAGCTCACCCACGGCTGAGGAAGATGGGGGCCCTTCAGGGACTTCCAGGATCTCCATAGACAGAGGAAAGGGGCCTCCCTGGGCCAGGATCTCACTCAGCATCAGAGGTTTAATGAAGTGGATGTGCTGAGAGGAAGCGGTGACATCCTCCACATCAACCTCCAGGGTGGAGGGGATCTTGACCAAGGTCCTGCGCACTGTGGAGCAGGGAGGTCAGCTTGGGAGGGCACACACCACTCAGGGAGCACCCCACCTTTGGCAAAGCCACCCTCCTTCCCTTCTCTTTCCTATCAGCATTTTTCTATTGTAGAAGATTCCTTGCCTACGCTTTCCCTTCAACCTCTTTTTTTTTATTTTATATTCCCCATACAATTGCAACCCCCCCATTCTGACCCCAATCCTTCCCCTCCCGCCCCACCCCCCCTTCAACTTCTTTTTAAAAAAAGTAGACTAGTAGAATGAACCCTCATGTATCTATCACTCAGCTTCAATATCTTAACTCCTTTCTCTTTTTTGAAGATTTATTTATGCATACAAGAACTGGGGTACAGACCAGAGGTGCGGGGGTGAGAGGATTCACCAGACAGAGTGGGGAACAGAACAGGCAGATCTACTGAAACACACTGCTGAGGGGAGCAGCTGCTGCGCCTTGTGGGTTAGCTGTGGATTGCTTCATAGTGCTGACGCTTAACCCCTTGCACAATCAGGGAGGCCCCTTAACTCCTTTTTCATTTACCCCTCATCTAGGGACTCCCCCTCCACTGGATTACTTGTCGTCAGAACAGCCACGTCACGCTCTGCCAATTTCTGTGTCTCTAAAACGGTAATTAAAATGGGGAAAAAAACTCAACAGTGCCATCACCACATCTAAATAATGATTTTATTTGATAATCCTTTAGTATCATAAAATATCCAATTAGTTCAACCACTTTTTAAATCAAATCGTCCATTTAAACTGATGGTATCACGCCTCCCTGGTGGCGCAGGGGTTAAAGTCTCAGTGCTATCAAGCTAACCACGCCAGCCACTGTGACATGAGTTTGAAGTTTGATTCCCCCCTGCCAAGGAGGTGACCCACATGGCTCAGCAGACCTCTCCTGTCTCACCCGCTGCTCCCCTCAGCAGTGTATTTCAGTCAGTCTGCCTGTTCTGTTCCCGGTCTGTCTGGTGAATCCTCTCACCCCTCACCCCTCTGGCCAGGACCCAGTTCTACGCAAAAATAACTTAAAAAAAAAAAACTGATGGTGTCTTAGATCAAATTTCAACTGAATTTTGAATATCATAAGCTGCCTTTTCAAATCCTTTCTGAATTTACAAAGATAAAAATGAACCAAGAGGGCCTCCCCTGATGGCGCAGGTGGTTGAGTGCCCGCTGTGAAGCTGTCTGCAGCCTCTGCAGCGCCAGTTCAATCCTGGCCGGCTGGCGAGTGTCCCACATGGCACAGCAGACCTCTCCTGTCGTGCCCACTGCTCCCCTCAGCAGCATATTTCTGTCATCTGCTGTTTCCCCTGCTCTGTCTCTGGTGAGTCCTCTCACCCTCCCGCGCATCTGGCCTGTACCCCAATTCTTGTATGAATAAATCTTTAAAAAAAAAAATCAAGAAAAACACTAAATGACCTTGGGCAACTAGTTTCGTCCCTGGGCATTGATTTGTAACCTCGTGTATAAACTCAAGAGATGATTGAGGGAGGGAAGTGGGGCCTCCCTTGGTGGCGCAGGGGTTAAGCACAGCACTAGGAAGTTACTTGCAGCCTCTGCAGCACGAGTTCAATCCCGGCCTGCCAGGGAGCTACTCACAAGGCACGGCAAATCTATTCAAGACCAGGTAAGGATGGCAAAAGGATTAAGGCGCCAACTTGAACGGGCTCCTATTGGCCAAAGCTGAGACTGAGCATGAATAAAAATAACAAGTTCAGTGGAGCAGGCACTGAAAACACTTCCTCTTGAGTTCATGATGATTAAAAAAAATTCTAAATAATCCCGAGAGGACTCTCGGCAGCTGGGCCTGGCTTCCTCCTGACTTTGCCCTACACTCCTCGCTTTTACTGAGTCATGAAAGCACATCACAGCTGTGAGCATTTTGACTCTATGCTGGGTCCTGTGAGTTCAAGCAAATCTCTGATCCTGGGGGTCGTCTCAGGCCTGACCCAAGAAGAAAAACAGGTGACAGAGGAGCACTCTGGTGCCAAAATGTAGAAAAGACTACAGGACAAATTGGCCTAGTTCCTTCCACAGATAAATTAAGAGAAAAATAGAGAAGGAAAGGGAACCTGGAATTTAAAAAAAGACTTAAGAGACAAAACGGGCACCACTGGTGGCTCAAGGGGTTAAGACACAACCTATGAAACTATCTGTAGCCACTGCAGCACAAGTTCGATCCCCGGCCAGGGAGCTGCCCACATGGCTCAGCAGACCTCTCCTGTCTCACCCACTGCTCCCCTCAGCAGTGTATTTCGGTCATTCTGCCTGTTCTGTTCCCTACTCTGTCTCTGGTGAATCCTCTCATACCCCGCCCCACACCTCTGGCCTGTACCCTAGTTCTTGTATGCATAAATAGATCTCTTTTTTTATAAAAAAAAGAGACAAAACAACAGCAATATTGTAGACCTTATACAGATGACGATGCTAATAAACTAAAAAAATTAAGAGGGAACAGAGGAAATTTGAACACTAAGTAGATGTTACCACTAAGTGGTGCTATGAGGAATTATTATTAATTTCTTGGTGTGATGATGGATTGTGGTTTGTTAAAAAGTCATTTTTAAAAGAGACATATTGGAATATTTACCAAAAAATTATATACCTGGGTTTGCTTTGAAATCATCAGGTCGGATGGGGTGGGGAGAGTGGGGATGGGAGATGTGAAACAGCATCTGTTGTAAGTTGCAGCAGCTGAAAGGATTCACCAGAGACAGAGTGGGGAGCAGAACAGGCAGACTGACTGAAATACTCCGCTGAGGGGAGCAGCGGGCGAGACAGGAGAGGTCTGCTGCACCATGGGGTCAACTCCCTCGCTGGGGATCGAACTTGTGCTGCAGTGGCTGCAGATAGCTTCATAATGCTGAGACTTTAACCCCTGCACAATCAGGGAGGCCCACTCCTAGATTCTAAAGCATGCAACACACAACTTACCTAAGTTTGCCTTTGAAGTTTGCTTTTATGTGCTTATCTCCAAATGAAACAGCTGGAGCTTGCACAGAAGCAACTAACCTTGAACTGAGTCTTAGGTTGGCTGGAGTGGGACAGCACAAATGCAAGGGGCTGCCCAGAGGTATGGAGTCCTCCAACAGAAACCAACACTCCAGTTATCTAAAAAGGCCTCTTCACACTTGTCTGGATGGACAGCTGTAACCAGCCAATAAACTTCACCATTTATTTGCCCTTAGCCCACTCCTTGGCCAATAAAATTTAACTCCTTTATTCTCAATCCTGCCCCCCAAAACCTATACAAACTTCTTCCCTTTCTTAACTGGGAAGGCAGTGTTGAGTATTTTTCTTGTTTCATTGCCAGTCAATAAAATGCTTTCTCAAAAGCTGGTGTCACACACCAGGCAGCAAGCCCATCTCGAGGTAATACCTGCTTCATAGAGCTTCGCATTTTTCCACTATAAAGTAGTTTTCAAAAGAGAAGAGAACCCCTGCTTGTTGCCTCCTGTGCATCGTGTGCCAGCAACCCTGACTGCTGCTCGGAAAGTCACGGGCAGGGAACGGAAACCAAACCCTCTGCCATCCAACGGGCAGCCCAGGTCCACTCTCCTGCCTCTGCTCACCCTTGGCCTTGGGCTGGTCGGGCCTGGTCAGGCGCTACATCTGTTTCACCCACTCTGCTCTGCCTGCTGCCCCAAGGCTGTCCTGAGAAAGGACTCAGCAAACAGCTCCCAGGCAGAGGGAGCTTTAGAACAGCCCCTCTCCCCAGAGACAGGAAAGTATGTTTCTCCTGAGCAAATGGGCATGGCTTTATTGTTACAGTGTTGTGTTTCTCTGTGCCTCTTCAGATCACCATCTAATTTTTGCCCATTTTTATAATAAAAGTAGGGCTTCCCGGTGCGAGGGGTTGAGCGAGCGCTGTGAAGCTGTCAGCTCCGCGCGCGTTCAATGGCGGCGGGAGCTACCCAAGGGCAGCAACTCTCTTGGTCGTCCGCTGCTCCCTCACAGGCTCTCAGTTGTCTGCCTGCTCTGCTCCCTGCTCTGTTCTCACCCTCCCCGCTGTGGTCTGTGCCAGCTTCTGTTAAATAAAAATAAATCTTTTTTAAAAAATAGAGAAAAAAGTGGGACCTCCCTTCCATTTTCCATTGTCCCTTTTCCTCCTACCTCTTTATATCTACCTATTTCATACCTATGGATTTAGTCCCACCGGCAGGGTGGCATTGTATATACCCGGAAGCCAGAGTGTCAGACTATTGGGACCAAGGTTTCTCATTAGAGCGGCTCCCCAGTTTCTCTTTTCCTCGGTACCGCCACACCCACACACCACCGGCGCAGGCAACTCACTGTGCATGATGGCGTGGATCTCATATTGGGGCGTCAGGTCACGGAGCGCAGGGGAGGACTGGGCAGGTGAGAAGGCGTTACTCAGGGCCGGGTCCTGCAGGCCTCGAGCAGAGTCCGAGGGGTGCCAGGATCCCATTTCCAGAACGGCCCCTCTGGACAGGGGCAGGTGCACCACGACCCAGGTGTTGCGTGGTCAGCACACAGCGGGCATAGCAGACCCCGATTGCATTTCTATGGCATCGAGCGTGAGCGGCTGGTCCCCAGGCACCACCTGGCTCTGTGGTGATGCTGCGGGTTGACATGAAGTCAATGGGCAGCTGCATGGAGCTCTTGGTGGTGCAGAACCAGCTCCTCCAGGGTTTCGTAGCTGTGAGGGCGGCAATGGGGTGAAGAGGCCTGGGGTAGCAGAGGGTGTCAGAGTGGGCAGGCTCTGCTGGCCAGGGTGGCACGTTCCAGGCCCGTCCAGCACAGAAAGCCCACCGCACCCCCAGGACGGTGCCAAGGGCAGCATCGGGGCAGCAAGACAGCGCTGAGGCCTGGAGGCAGCCAGTGACCGCATGGGCAGACGGGGAGGGGCAGGGACGAGGACGATTCTTCTCTGGCAGGCAGGGACGCGGAGACGCTGGCCAGGGACAGGACAGAGCAGGACTGCTGGCTCCATCTCCTACCCGCCTGCCGCTGTCTTGGCCTCCAGATGCCCGTTCACCACTCCAATCCCTCTCACCCCACACCTAGCACCCCGTGCTGGGCCAGGGCCATTGTCTGTCTCTCCCAGATGGAAACTCGGGAGCTTCTGACAAGTGGCCGCCCCCTGAGCCTCTACATCCCGTCCTCCAATCCTGGCTGCTCAACTACTCTCCCCCCAAGCAGTCTTCCCCAGCCCAGGACTGGCCTAAAATACCCCCCCACACACACACCCCCAAACATAACTTGCCTTCTGACATCTCCCTGCCCCAACAGGCTACACAAATCTGATCAAGGAAGGAGCACACGGGGCCTCCCGGTGGCGCAGCGGTTGAGCGCTGGGTTGCGAAGCTGCCCGCAGCCTCTGCAGCGCCGGTTTCCCCGGCTGCTCCGGCTGGAGGCACTGGAGGAGGGTCCCACATGCAGACCTCTCCTGCCGCCCGCTGCTCCCCTCAGCAGTGTGCTTCGGTCCTTCTGCCTGCTCTGCTCCCCGCTCTGGCTCTGGTGAATTCTCTCGCTCCCGCGCTTCTGACTGTGCCCAGTGCATGTATAAATAAATAAATAAATAAATCTTTAAAAAAATGAAAAAAAGGAAGGAGCACACAATGTGGACAAGGGACATTCCACCAAAGTACTGGTCTGGACACTTCAAAATGGCAGCGTGAAGACAAAGAAAGGCTGAGGAACTTTTCCAGCCTGAAGGAGACAGAAGAAATGGGCAACCGTGTGATCTGGGATCCAACCCCGGCTCAAGGGGGAAGGCGCCACGCACGTCATTTTGAAATCCGGACAGATGTGGGTTGGGCAGGCGTCGTGCGTCAGCATGACATTTCCTGAATTTGATCACTGAGTTCTGGTTTCACAGATGAATGTTCGTGTTTTTAGGGGGCGACACCAAAATATTAGGAGTCGTATTGAAATGTCAAAGGGTATCACATCTGCAATTCTCAAATGATTCGGGGAAAAACTATATTATATCCCTATATACACGCAGGTCATAATCCGTGTTCTTGCGTGTGTGCGGGGAGGGCAGGTGGAGCACACGGGTCAAAAATCGTGAGTTTGGATAAAAGGTGTATCACAGTTCTAGCAAGTCTTCCTTTAAAAATGATTTCAAAAGAGAAACAAAATCCTTAAAATACAAAATAAAACACACCACTTCCATATGTAAAGCCCCACTGGCTCCTGCGTGCCCTCCAAGGGAACCAGAGCGTGTCTGCCCCACACCCGCGCCAGTGGGCCGGCTCCTGCTCTCCTGGCCCAGCTGGGCCGTCCCGGGAATCTTCCCTCGGGGGAGGCCCTCGCCCGGCGCTGCCAGTGCCCCGTCTCTTAATCCTCACATCAACGCTGATCACCACTTCTGAGGAGGAAGCTGAGGCTTGGGGAGGTCATGGGAACTTGCCAAGGCCTAGTAGCTGGCAAAGCTGAGGCACCCAGTCAAGCCATTGGCTTCAGCATTTGGGCGCGGCTACGTGCCTCCTGCAACAACTGAGAAATAACTGCTGAATCTGCACCTGCTACTCCTGCCAGCTCAGATCCTTCCTCCAGTTCAGGTGCCACCTCCTCCAGGAAGTCTGCACAGACCCCTGCAGCAGGCTACACCCGCCCCATCCTAAACTTGCGCCTGTTCCTGCTGTTGCCCTCGTCCAAATGCCATCCTGGACGCTGCCGGAGAAGCCCGCAGTTGCTTCACCCTCAGCGGCCAAAGTAGCACCTGGCACACCATGGAGTTTCAGTAACAGTTTGGTGAGTGAACACGAGTGCAAACACAAAGACAGACACTAGACAAAGACCTGGAACAAAGTTCCAGCCTAGAGGCACACATGATCAGAGAGCTGGATGGGGGGTGGGGTGGGCGCAGTGGTGCCAGCCTTGGGGCATCTCAGACCAGCTGAGAACTGCCTGGCCCAGAGGCTCGGTCAGGTGGTGGTAAGAGGGCATGTGCCACAGAGGGTAGAGTGCGCTGGGCCCGCGAGCTGATGGCTGTGGATGTGCCTGGAGACAGAGGACACAGAGGCCTTACCCTGGAAGTTGAGGGCGAGCTCTATGGTCTGACCCGTCCCTGGGTTCTTGCAGACCACATTCTTGACGCAAATCTGGGTGACCTTGATCAGGTCCCCCGTGGAGAGGCAGCACTCATTCCCAGAGATCTCGTAGATGGAGCCTATGGGACACAGACTCAGTTTCCCCATTCAGCAAGGGCCAAGCACCAGGTGCCTGTGCTCTACGCCCCAGCGAGCTCTGCTCTGCCAGACCTCACGGTGTTCCTGCTGCCAGCAGCGCCCTCCCTGGCTCCCTGCCTAGCAGCGCCGGGGACAGCAGAATCCCTGCCTTTGGAGCCTGCTGGTCTCCTCTGGGGCCTCTTCTTCGGCTTCCTTCACTTCTGCGTCCAGAGCTGAGCTCTCGGCAGGGCCGATCCTGATACGTATGAGCGTCGCTGCGGCTGGCACGGGTGGGGCTCTAAGCACATGTTGAAGTCATGGAGTGAACAGAGGTACCGCCTGGCTGCAAGGTCAGGCCCAGAGTCAGCAGCCCCCCTGAGTCACAGAGCCACCACTTCAGGGTGCGGCCAGCAGGCAGGGTTCTGAACCCTCCCTAGGGCACTGGGGCCCAACTTTCTTTGAAGCAAGGGTTTAATGTGCTTAAAAGCAGCAGCACCTGGAATCCAAAGGGTGCTGGACAAAACCTCTCATGGGGGCGGGCAGGGGGGCGCACGAGCGCTCCCCACTGCCAAGGAGGGGCAGGAAAGAGCAGGCAGGTGAGACTGAGGCCAGCTGAGCCCACCCTCCCTGCAGGCCCCAGACGGGCGCTCACCACAGCCCCCAGGACCTGGTGACTCCCCGAGTAGCCGGTTCCTTATCCCCAGGGAGATGGGCTCCGGCCCCCAGGCGCACAGTCTGTCTCCAGGCTCAGGGCCCGGGCCTGGGTGGTGAGAACAGCTACACGGCTGGGCGGCCGCCGTGTTCCCAGCGCAGCGCTCAGCTCCGCGGACCAGCCGCCGCCCTGGAGGCCCACGACCGTCCTTGGAGTAAAGGGCTATTTCTCTCTCCTGCATGGCCCAAGACGCCTGAGACTGCGTGGGTGGCCGAGATGATCAGACAATAGGAGGCAGAGTGGGGGCTCCAGCGCAGGGGGGTGGCATGCAAAGCTGCAGATGCCAGCCATGCAGCGAACCGCAGCCACCTGCCCCGCAGCGACACCCCCTGCCTCCTCCACACTCACCCCCATCTCCACAGGCTCTTCTCTTGCCCTAACTTCCCACGGGCCCCACCCCCATCAGGCAGAATGAGGAAGCGCAGGTTATTAGGAGGGGTTCTGGGAGGATGGAGCCTCTCGGGCTGGGGGATGCAAATAGACCACAGGGCCTGCAGGAGAAAGTGGCTTTTCAACCCAGATGGGTCAGATTTCCAAGCAGACCCAGTGAGCCCCGCTATGGTGGTTCCCCTGGGTCTTACCCTTGGGCCCCTTGGGGCCTCGAACACTTTACTGGAAGCTCTGGTGGCAAGACAAGACAGGAATAGCATGGGGAGGGCTATGCTAGCATGGGCACTGGCTGGCCTCTGAGGAGTAGCCATCCACCACCCCCACCCCACCCCACCCCTCCCCTGCCCTGTTTCCTCTTGCCCCATTCTGCTCAGAGTTCCTCTAGCCCTCAGGGCAGCGCTGGGCTTCCCATCTGCTGAGCAGCCATCCTCTCTTCCACCACCTGTCAATCGCCTGCTCTCGGGGATAATGACCGCGCCCCTGCTGGGTTCCCATCCCTGTGATCCAGGGGGACAGTGGCCAGTGGGAAAATGTGTCTCCTGCAAGGAGTGGGGAGAGCCAGGATGGCTTCCTGAGGAAGACCAATTAGAGCCAGGGCCTCTCCGCGCTGTGAAGCTGTCCGCAGCCTCTGCAGCGCGGGTTCGATCCCGGCCAGCCGGTGAGAATCCCACATGGTGCACAGACCTCTCCTGACTGGACCGCTGCTCCCCTCAGCAGTGTGTTTCGTCAGTCTGCCTGTTCTGCTCCCCGCTCTGTCTCTGGTGACTCCTCTCACCCCCGCACCTCTGACCTGTACCCCGGTTTTGTACACTTTAGGAAATAAATCTTAAAAAAAAACACAATTGGAGCTGAGAATGGGAGAGCTGGTCGGGTCAAGTAGCGTCCATCGCCAGTACAGGGTTAAGGGAGGGTTGGGGGGCTGAAGGAAGGCGGAGCAGATGGGCGCCAAGGGGTCAGTGGGTGGGGGGCCTCGAGGCAAGGCCGCGGAGGGGAAGGCTGATCTGGTTCTTTTATTTTTCTTTAATTTTTTGTAATCTGGTTCTTAAAGTTCTAGCAACAGCTGCGTGTCCTGCGCGCCCTAATGCCGCGTGCCCGCGCACAGACACGCGCGGGTGCACCCCAGCCTGGCTCTGCTGCACCCACCTTCTGTGCCCGAGCTCACTGATTTCCATCACCACCCTGCGGGGCAATTGGCGACCCCCCATTCCACGGAAGCAAAAGCCGAAGCCCAAAAAAGTTCAGCGTAATCCCCAAATAATAGCTTGCACAGGGCCACGGGGAGTTGGAACCCGGGAAGCAGTTTCCTGAGCTTTTAATGCAGGGACAGCTCCCCCACCCCACACCCAAGGCCCCGACCCCCAGGGGGATCTCGACTCGACACTCACCCTGGAAGTAGACCCCGGAGCAGACCCGCAGCACGCGCGGGAGGGAGGCGGGGTTCAGCGCGCGCGCGAAATCCTGCAGCGACACGGGCTCCATGGTGCGCGCGGCCCGCGGACCCCGGAATGGCCCGGACCCCGCCACCCCCCGCCGGCCGCAGCCCGCCCCGCCCGCGCCGGGGCGCGGTCCGGGTGAGCCCCGCCTGCCGGGGGGTGCGCGGCCGCCCCGGCTCGCGGGTCGGTGGCTCCCGGCTCCCCTCGGTTTTCGCATTTCTAAAACCTGGTGCAACCCCCGCTTGGCACACGGCTTAGGGGATCTGGATCAGGAGCTGACAAAGTCGGGGGGCTCTAAATACGTAAAAGCTGGTGCCCGCGCCCCCAGCCGCGGTGATGTCCCCTGCGGGGGAGGGTGATGATGGAGGGGAACTCGTGGACCGGTACCCCAGCCCACCCCCCACTCCTGCCAGCACACCTCGAGAGGTTCTGGGTCTCCTAGGAGAGACCTCACTCTCCCCTTGGGCGTGGGGGGGACGTTTGGGGGCGGGACCCCCGAGTCCCCTTGGGGGACACGGCTTGGACCTCTTCTGACGGGGACCTCGTCAGCTTTTCAGGACACCCAAGCACTCCGGGCAGTTCCGGTTAAGAACTCTTCGCAGTTCAGCGCAGTCAAGCGAGCACCAGCCACTGCTGCGTGAGTTCAAACCCCGGCCAGGGAGCTGACTAAACCACGTGGCGCAGCAGACCGTCTCCTGCTTCGCTCGCTGCTCCCCTCAGCAGATATCTGTCAATCCGGTGTTCTGTTCCCCACTCTGTCGCTGGTGAATCCTCTCACCCCAGCCCATACCTCTGGCCTGTACCCAGTTTTTATGCATAAATAAATAAATCTAAAAAAAAAAAAAAGAAAAAAGGGCCCTCCTGGTGGTGCAAGGGGGTAAACCACACTATGAAGCAATCCGATCCTCTGCAGCAACTTTTGATCCCCGGCCAGCCAGAGAGCTACCCACATGCCGCGGACCAGCACAGCAGTAGACGATGAGGCCACTCAGGGTTGAGAGAAGCGTGCAGGGTGTCAGGGCGTCGGGAAAAGAAATGACAAACCGACACACTCAAGAGTGAAAATCTGAGTGTAATTTTCTCTAATTTGTGACCAGTATAATATGTTTTCCAAAGCACAGAATGAATATCAAGGAATTAGCTGCATGGCTCAGTCTATCCTCAGGGAGTGATCTACATAACAAGCAATGACCATTATAGAAGAAAGAGGAAGTTTAGAAAGACAGATAAGGGATTAAAGTTTGTAGTTCTAGGAAGAGGGATAAGATTTTTAGCATTCTTGTAGTGGTTCTTGGTGGTCGTTATCTATTGATAAGCTTCTGCAGGGATTCCGTTGCACTTCCTCTGCTTCGGCTGTTTCCCTGGCGCTGTTGCCAGCGGCCTAGGACCGTGGAAAGCATTCCTAAAGATCACTGCAGGTGCAGCAGGTAGGGTTTTGCTGTTTCCCTGCGGCTGGTCCCAGCCTAGGGGCGGTTAGCCCTAAAGGTCACTGAGGGGGGGTGCACCACATGGCGCAGCAGACCTTCTGTCTCTCCCGCTGCTCCCAGCATGTATTAGTCAGTCTGCCGTTCTGACCCCGCTCGTCTCTGGTGAATCCTCTCACCCCCCATCTCTGGCCTATACCCCAGCTCTTGTATGCATAAATAAATAAATCTTTAAAAAAAAAAGAAAAGGGAAAAAAAATCTTCCTTGGATTGAAGCAGAACCGGTCGAGGAGAAAGACAACTCCTGGAATGAAACTTTCCCAGTTCCTACTTCAGAGATCAACAGAGGTTAAATCCCAGTTACTCCTCTTGTTTATTTTTTTTTTTTTTTTTTTAGAGGATGTTTTTATTTATTATTATATTTGTTTGTTTGTTTTTGTTTATACATGCACTGGGTACAGTCAGAAGCGCGGAGGGTGAAGAATTCACCAGAGCCAGAGTGGGAGCAGAGCAGGCAGAAGGATGAAGTACACTGCTGAGGGGAGCAGCGGGTGGCAGGAGAGTTTGCGCACCATGTGGATTCTCCTCCGGTGTGGGAGCAGCGGGGATCGAACCGGCCGCGCAGAAGCCGCGGGCAGTTCGCAGCCCAGCGCTCAACGCTGCGCCAGGGGAGGCTATCCTCTTGTTTATTACATCACTTTGGGCAAAATCACTTTGACTTCGTGAGTTTGTTTTGACTGAAATACACTGCTGAGGGAGCAGCGGCGAGACAGGATGGTCTGCTGCGTCATGTGGTAGTTCCCTGGCCTGCGGGATTGAACACTTGATTTAGTGGCTGGCAGTAGCTTGATAGCACTGTCTTTAAATCCTGTGCCACCAGGGAGGCCCAGAGGTGATATAGGTATTATGCAAAATGCTTTATTTCATTCTTTGCCACTATGAAATAGAAGACTTCTAATTAGAAAAAAAAATGTTTAAGGAATAAACCCTAATTAAAGCCTTTGACAGATAAAAAGAAGATGAACGTTCTTTTCCTACCACCCATATATACTTGCTGTAACTAGTTTACTGTTGTTTTCTTTCTAGTCTATATTCTGCTTGGGTGTGGTTTTAAAAAATTCTCATTTACCATAATGTTGCAAAAGTAGCAATTTCCCTTCTATCCCACAGTTAGTTTCATATTCCCCCGAAACTACTGATCTGACCAGTTTATCAAAACAAAGATGCCAGCTGTGCTTCATTACAGTAACAGAACTACAGGATTTATTTGGATTTTTTTGTTTTTGTTTTTCCACTAAGGTCCTTTGTCTGTTCCAGAATCCCCTCCAGGACTCCATATTGCCCCTTAGTCATCCTGTGTCCTGTGACAGCTTCTCAGTCTTCCCTTCTTCCTGTGACCTGAACAGTCTTGAGGAGCAGCGTCAGGTATTTCGTAGAATGTGCTGCAATGTGACATTTGACTTCGAGAGGTAAGCTTGCACCCCATTTTAGAGATGCAGAAACTGAGGCTGGGAGAGGAAAGGGACTTTCCCCACCGTGGATCGACTCTCTTCCTCATAACAAGACTAGGGTTTTGGATTTTATTTTTTTAAAGATTTTTTTTTATTTATTTATGCATACAAGAGCTGGGGTGCAGGCCAGAGGTGGGGGGGGGGAGAGGATTCACCAGAGACAGAGTGGGGAGCAGAACAGGCGGATCTACTGCAATACACTGCTGAGGGGAGCAGTGGCTGCTGATAGCTTCATAGTGCTGAGACTTAACCCTTGCACCACCAGGGAGGGTCACAATGCTTTCTCACTGTGACGCTAACCTAGACCACTTGGTTCTGATGGGATTTCCAGGTTTCTCCACAGCAAAACCTAGTTTTCGTCTCTACACTGTGTGTTGGAAAGAATCCTCAGGTGGCCCCTTCCCGGCAAGAGCAATATCCGAAAAACTTCTAGAACATTCCTCTGTAAGAAAAGATGTCTTGGGCCTCCCCTGGTGGCACAGTGGTTGAGCTCTGGGCTGCAGAGCTGCCTGCAGCCTCTGTAGTGCCAGTTCGATCCCTGGCCACCAGGCGAGGGTCCCACATGGCGTGCAGACCTCTCCTGCCGCCCGCTGCTCCCTCAGCAGTTATTTCGTCACTCTTCCTGTTCTGCTCCCCGCTCTGGCTCTGGTGAATTCTCTCACCCTCCCGCGCTTCTGACTGTACCAGTGCTTGAATAAAAATAAATAAATAAAAAAAAAAAAAAAAAGATGTCTCAAAAAAAAAAAAGAAAGAAGAGTTGTCTGTTCTCCCTGGTGATTTATTTATTCTGTTATTTATTTGTATCATACATTTATTTTTTACTTTGACTTTTAATTTAATACTATTTATTTTGTTGTCCAAATTGTTCCAGCTTTGGACTGCCTTCAGCTTGGCTCCCGGGACCTAATTCCGGGCACCTCTGTCCTGGTCTGGGAGCAGCTCGTCGGTCTGGGAGCATCTGCTCCAGGCTCAGTTCTGCTTTTCCCTGTGCTCCGCCTTCTACCAGCCCTTTCTCCCAGAAGCGGGTCTGCACCTGGCCCCAGCGTGCTCGTTGCCTCTGGTTCTCCATTCTTTTCCTTTGTCTTTCTCTTTCCCTGTAGGAACATCCACAGACACCCCTGCGCCCCGGAAACCCACCGAAACCAGGTCCAGCCCTGACCTTCCAGGAGAAGCTGGTGGGGGATGACACTCAGCAGAAAATTTTGCTTCCCCTCCTTTCGCTTGGTCTTTATCTGGTGAGCATTTCTCCAGGTTCCCCTGATTCCTGGCACAAAAGTGGATTTACCAAAATTGGTCAGCCTACTAGAACTGACACTGAAACCATTTTCTCTCCCTTGCAATTTGTGTTATAGATTTACTGGCGTGATTATTTGCTGAAATTAGACAGTTGGCTTCCTGGGGAAGAGAATGAGGTACAGTCTGCTTTTCAGGCCCCAGTACACCCCGGCATACTGCATGAAGCCTGACATACAGTAGCTGCTCAATAAACAGGAGGTGCTCAAGTGTGGTTGACAACTGATCGAATGATTGGGTGAAAAATACTTCCTTGGGAGAGATGCCTGAAGCAGGATGTCTGGGCCCACGGGTGTGTGTGTCTTCATAGCCTCCAAGGGTGCATTCAGTCCTGTTGAAAGGCTGACGAGCCTCTTCTGATCCCATAAAATAAGGAAGGAGAAGGACTTTTGTAAGAGCTGAGGAATAGCACGAAGAGGAAGGTAGCAGGCCCTGACCCCAGAGGGATGTCTGCTCAGCAGAGGAGATGGAATGGGTTGGGGGTGGGGAGTGGTTTCTATATTTCCAGAAACGTCGGATTCTAGGAGCATCTACTCTGAGCAGGCCCTGGATAACTACACTCTCACTTCATCCTCCCTGCAAGCCAGCAAAACCAGTATAGTCCTTCCCATTTTGCAGATGAGGAAACTGAGGCTCAGAAAAGTAAAGGACTTGACCAAGATCTTGCACCATGAAAGTGGAGATGCTGGGATTTTAATTCGACTCTTCTGGGCTCCTCCTGGAGACCATCTCTCCCCTCTGCAGCTGCCCCTGTAAGTCTGACAGGTTTCTGCTCAGCCCAATTTTGCCTCGAACTGCAGTAGAGGATGAAGAATAAA